TGCTTCAGGTCTCCCAGGAGCCAGAGCCTCTCCCAGGCCACCCATCAGCTCTTGCCACTGCAGGCCACGAGGCTGGACCACCACACTGCTGAATCTCTCCTGAGGCAAAGTCCAGCTTGGAGAGGACCTGCAGGCTCCTGCGGCGTGGGAAGTGGGACAGGGCAGTAATTGCTGCAGTCAGCCTGGCTGAGTCCTGACGGGCCTGTAGCTGTAGCCAAATTGTTAGGACAGGGTAGGAAGAACAAGCCACTTTGCTGCCCAACACCTGGGAAGGTATTTCATGACAGGAGTAGCTTTGATCTCAAAATATCTCCAACCTGTGGGCAGAGGGAAGAGGCTGCTGTAGTGCAGTGTTGTAGCTCTGCAAAGAAATGCTGTTCTGCTGAGCTGATGAGTCCTGGCACCCGCATCGCTGTGGGGCTGCAAACGCCCTGAGTGCATATGAAAACTCACTGGCTTGAAAGTAAAAGGGTGTTAGAAGTGCCTCTTTGGAGGATGGCCCCAGGATGACGGGAGGACATCTTGTATCATCTTATTTTTGCCATCCTTGGGTTTAGAATACAAAGGATTTGTCTGGAGAGCTGGGTTTTATCACTAATGCTGGCAAATTCAAATGTCCTTGTGTTTCATCCCTGTGTCCCTGCAGTGACCTTGTTCTTGCTGTGACACCACAAACCTGGCCAGGTGCAGGGAGAACATGGTGATGTGCAGGTGTTGAGGACACTGGGAAGGTACCAAAGCTCAGCACAGCTCTTATATATGGATATGAATAAGGGAGAAAAGGGGATAGAATCAGAGAACTTGGATAACATTTTTAATTTAACTCCAGTAAAATCCCTCCTGAGCTGCTCTTGTCACACCCAATCTGGTGCTGACATTGCCTTTCTAAAGCTGTGTTCAGACCTGCCTCTGCTCCAGCCTGTCCATGGGGGCTGTGTCTGCACTCTCAGCTCCTCCAGCCCGTGTTCTCCAAGGATTTGCAGTACTTGCAGCACACACAGTGGTGATGAGATCAGCAACCACCTGTGAGGTGGCTCTTGATGATCCCACCCATTCCCTGGGCTGAATTGTCATGGTTGCAGAGCCCGCGTGGCAGACCAGGGACTCTGCTTCCCCATCAGGGGAGATCAAGTGTTAAATCATCACAGTGACAGCACAGAGCTACCAAGGTGCTCTTGGCTTTGTAACCAGTGGCAATACAGTCCCAATTGGGAAGGTAGAAGGCGATGAGCAGCCTGTCTCTCATCCCTGATCCCACTGTCCTCCTCAGAGCGGCTCCCGCTCCCAGCTCGCCCACAGCCACAGGCAGCAGCTGCATCACTGCACAGCACAGCTACTGCTCCCTGCAGCCAGGAGTCCCTCAAACGCTTCTGTTCCTTGCAGCTCATTTGCTAACCATCACATCCCTCTTTTTGGAGCAATTTCTGTCTCAATGGCACGTTTACACACTGGTCCAGTGCTTCTGCATATCTGTGTTCCTTTTCACTGCTGTCCCAGTCAATAGCCATGGGATTTAGGAGGAATTCAGGATATTGCAGGCAGTTTATGTGGTTATATCACACCTGCTGTCCCACATTGTCCTTTGCGCTCACAGGGGAGCATAAAACATGTTCCACAGGGAAGAGGGAACTACTCAGGGGCTCCCAGGGAAGTGAGACACCAGCCCCAGGGGTCTTCTGGCCACAGACAGCTGTGGGGAAGGGGCTCTGCCTGCTGACAGCCCCGAGGTGTTTCTGTCTCAGAGTTCAGAGCAGGAGCACCTTGCACAGGGTCTCTGCCTGCTCCTGTCCCCAGCTGCCACAGGGGCTGCAGAGTTCTCTGCCCCACGGGGGTCAGCACTGCTCCCCATGGCATCTCCTGATACTCTGAGTGCCTCCTTCCTCCTCAATCCCATCTCCTCCACAACCAGCAGGGGTGGGATGTCTGTGTTGATCCTTGATCACACTGATACTTAAACCACAACCACATGAGACAGTGTAGGACTAGTGGTGACCTTGGTCTTTTAGTTGGGAAAGAGGCCAGTGGCTCCTGAACCTGGGATCACCAAGGAACAAAAATGCCTTTTGGTGTCTTCACCTGGGGACATTGAAGCCATTGAATGGCTCCAAAGAGGAGGAGGACAAGGTTCAGTGAGATGTAAACCCAGGGCCCTGGTGAACACGGAAACAGAGTTTATCAGCTATTACAAGGATTTCTTTCTTGCCCGTACTTGGATGGCATAGAATCAAAGAGTCATGGAATCATTTAGGTTGGAAAAGCTCTCCAAGATCATTGAGTCCAACAGTTTCCCAACACTGCCAAGGCCACCACTAAACCATGTCCCCACGTGCCACATCTACATATCTGTTAAATTGTGGGAAACAGGCTCTCTCAGCATCCTCAACAGCCTGATAGGAATGAGGGTTCCAACACTTCGATGTTGGGTGCAAAATGGAACACTTTATTAACATGGCTCCTGCCTTTTATGGGGCAGGAGCAGAACTTGCTGGAACAAGGGGAGCAACTGAGGAGGAGCAAGGGCGGAGTATGTAAACTAGGACCATATAGGGAGAACAAGGGGAGGAGTATATCTATACTCCAGTGTCGAAGGCATAAAATAGGGGTACAATGAAAGAGAATAAACACATTTTATCAAAAACTGGATCCCAATATTAAATCCCTCCAAGGATGGAAGGATCTCTTAAATTCCTCCACCACTGCCTTGGGCAGCCTGTGCCAGGACTGGGTGAAATTAGTTTCTCCAGGAAAATGCTGTCCAAGGCTTTACAAAGTCTAGCTAGACAACATCCACAGCATTTTATCAATCCACATATTAGATCTTTGAGCTTAGTCTTACCGAAACATTAATATTTGCCTTAGACAAACTTAATCTTACTTTATTATACTGGAAAGAGGCACTGAAAGTGTCACATCTGTCACCATAAAATTTTATGTGTGTGCACAAGTACATGACAGCTTACATATTAGTGTTTTCTTTACTCAGAAAGAGTAAACTTCTCCTGGGAAATTTCTTCTGGGAAAAGAAACCGCATCTTACACCTCACAGCTGGGAGACAAACACTTCCCGTCTTCCAGATGTTCCAGAGGCCAACAAGGAAAAAAGTCAAGAAAGGGGAGGTGGAAATATCTGCTTAGAAACAGATGTCCACAGAGCAGTGGAGAACAGCTTGCTGGCAGCACACGGCGGCTCTTCAATCAGCCCACACTGATCCGGGACATCCCTGTGGTTGGTGGGAGCTGCCCGGGGCTGTCCCTGCTCCAGGTCTGTGCCCTGGGTGGTTCAGGGAGCTTATGGCTGCTTTGGGGGCCCTTTATCAGCATCAGGGCAGCTCCACATGGCCATGGAGCCACTTCAGCCTCAGCAGGGTGGGCTCTGCCCTCAGGAGGTGCAGGGGGGTCTGCAAGCGCAGTGACAGCAGTCCTGGGGTGTTCAGAGAGCATTGGGCAGGATCCACAACTTCTCAGACAGGGCTGCTCTGGGCTTGGAGTGGCTTCGTGGCCATCCCAGGGGAGCAGTTCTGGCTGACCTGTGGCATTTACATGGATCTGTCATGAAACAGAAATGCCAGGAATGGGATGACATCCCATCCCTCCCAAGGTAATGGTTCCAGTGTCGCTTCCCTGTAGAAAAAAGTTATGAGGAAAAATGGGTTTGAAACATCATGTAACAGGGAAAATACATGGGGAAACACATGGCAGGACAAGGGGGGATGGCTTTAAGCTGAAGGAGGTAGATTTAGATGGGATATTGGGAAGAAATTTTTCCCCGTGAGGGTGGTGAGGCAGAAGCTGTGGCTGCCCCATCACTGGAAGTGTTCCAGGCCAGGCCGGACAGGGCTTGGAGCAACCTGGGCTAGTGGAAAGTGTCCCTGCCCATGGCAGAGGGTGGAACAGGATGAGCTTTAAGGTCGCTTCCAACCCAAACTGTTCTGGGTTTCTATGAAACAGATCTCTCACTTTCTTGATTCACTTACTAACTTTTCTGGAAATCCTTTTTCCTTTCCTCTTTGCTCTATTCCAATGGCTGAGCTTCAAGGTAGTGCCCAAGAGGAACTCTGGAAGTGTCTCAGGATAACTTGGACTTCTTCATGCAAGCAATAAAACTTGTCTCATCTTCACACTCATCTCAGCCTTGCTGGGGCAGCCCCTTCTGTCCTATAACCTTTGTTCTCCCAGTGGATGAGATCTGTGCAGATGCTGAGGATATTCAATCATTTTTCTAATGTGAGACTTGGAAAAATGGGGGGGTTTCAGTATATTTTTGCTCAAAGTTCGCTTGAACAAAGAGTGACATTTGTCACCTCAGGTTGTCCTGTAGATAGAGGGGCCTCATGTGGTGATGGCTGGTGGCACGTCCACTCTATCCAGAGGACATGCTGAACCACACAGTGTCTGCACTCTCAGCTGGGAGAGGAAGGAGATATTCCAGCTTCAGGTGCTCCCTGGAGTGATCCCTGCTTTCACCCAAGACTCAGACAGAACAGTGACTCATTCCAGCTGGTCCAGTCCCTTTAACTCTGCTCCTGACATGAGCCCAGACACGACAAGCTGGAGGTGGCCACCATTCTGCCTCATGCCTATGGCTCCTACTGATCCAGAAGGACCCAGGTTTGCTCCAGAAGAAAGCAGGGACTTGCCTGAGGTCTTCCATGGTGCTGCATCCAGCTCCTGTCCACCTTGGCAGGGACGTGGCAGGAGGGGGGGCCTGATGAGCTGGGCTGCAGCTCCTGGGTTGTGCTCAGCAAATGTCACCAAAGCCCTGCTGGTGGCACGTCCAGGAAGGTCTGTGAAGTGCCGCCCTGGGGCTGTGTTTGCTCAGGTTCTGATAAGTGCCCCCCTTATCAGAGCAAGTGAACATCCCACTCAGGGATGGGGGCACGGCACCACTGGCAGCTGTGCCAGCCCCACTCCCCACCTGGCACAGCACAGCTATAAATCCTGCCACCCAAAGCACATCCCCAGCCAGTTTCTGGACTTGCAGGTGTCCCCGTGGAGTCGACATGGGTGAGTATGAGCGCAGGGGAGCAGGACAGGGTGGGCTCCCCAGGGACCCCCAGAAGCAGCGCTGGCAGAGGGGGACACTGATCCTCCCCCCTGGCAGAGCCACCCATCTGCTCCCATGGATGGAGGGCTCACCACGGGGGCAGGAGGTGACAGAGGCCAGACCCAAGGTCTGTGCTGCTTCTCCCAGGGCACAGGAGAAGCTTTGAGAGGGTTGTAGGAGTCCTTGGATCTGCCCTCAGCCCAACCCAGCAGCTCCCTGGGCAGCGCCAGGGCAGAGGAGAGCTCAGGAGGGGTCATGTGGGGCAGAGGGAGCCTGCAGGGAATGGTAGGGTCAGACCAACCCTGGGTCACACTCAAGGGGTGCTGTCACTGCTGGAAGGACAGAGCTTGGCACACCTCCCACCCCTGCCATCCCATCGGGGGAGTGTGGGTGAAGTGAGGGCAATAGATTCCACCTGGGCTGCTGAAACAAGGGCTGTGCTCAAAGCAGGAGGGAAAACCTACAGAGAGGGGTCAGAGGGACCTTTCCCTGTGCAAATGGGAAACCCCATGGTGCCCCGACAGGTTTGGGGTGACTGGAGCTGTTTCACCCCATTGCATGGGATGCTCTGTGTGACTCTCATCTTGTCCCTTCCTTGTCCAGCTGCCCAGTGCACTCCCCTCCTGTTCCTTGCCTGTGTGTTGGCCCTGCCTGCCCCACATCTCGCCACGAGCATCCAAAGCCTGGCTCTCCTCAACCAGTCTCTCCCCGTGGCTGCTCCGAGGTCGTTAGTGAACGGTAGGTACACGGAGGGTTCCCATCGGTGCCAGCAGGACACAACCAGGACCACCCCAGAGCTGGCTGTTGGGGAGTGCATCTCCTGCCCTGTTGCCCCCCAGGGACCCCTTAAGAGGGCTGCGTGTCCCAGCACGAGTCACCTGCCCTTCCTCAGTGTCTGGTGGGTGTGGACATGGGACATGGCAGTCGCGGGCCTGTCTGCTCGTGGGTAGGTGTGGAGGAGCCCAGAGGGTTTGCTCTAATCCCTCCCAAAGCCAAAACTGTCCCTCCCCACACACCTCTGCTCCATGGGAGGACAGTGGGAATATTCAGTGGGAGGGATGCAGAAGAAAGGAAGGGTCCTCCTGCCACCAGCATCCCCAGCTGTTGCACTTTTCCCATGGCAAAGAAGTGATGATCTCCCATGAAATTCCCTTGTCTGAGAGGACCTCACTGGGCTGCACCATTCCCTGGCTCACCCTCAGCTTCACTCCCGGGGTACTCAGTCCCAGGAGGGGGCTGAGGGAGCACGGGGCAAAACCCCTGCCGTGTCTCTGGGACAACACACCAAAAAAATAGTTAGAAATGAAGATTTCAGAAGAGTAAGTTCCTTCCCCAACCGGGGGCACGATCAGAGGTGCAAAGGCCCCACATCTTACTGCCTGGACTCCAGTTCTTGAGCCAGAATGTACCTTCTGGTCTGGGCTCCCTCTTTCTTTGGTGTCATCCCTTCATTTCCAAATTTCTTCCCTCCTGTTGTTTTCCCTGTTCCAGGTCAGGTCCGGCTGGTGAACGGCTCCAACCAGTGCTCGGGCCGGGTGGAGGTTTGGTACCGCAATGCCTGGGGGACGGTGTGTGATGACTCCTGGGACACAGCAGACGCCTCTGTGGTGTGTAGGCAGCTCGGCTGCGGGAATGCGGTGTCAGCCCCAGGCAACGCTTATTTTGGGAGAGGATCTGGTTCTATCTGGCTGGATGACGTCAGCTGCACAGGCACTGAGAGGCTCCTCAGTGAGTGCTCGTCACAGCCTTGGGGACAACACAACTGTGGGCACAACGAGGACGCGGGCGTTGTGTGCTCAGGTGAGGATGGGCTTGGCCTGGTCTGAGCTTCTCGGGCACTCAGGGCTCTGTAATGTCTTGGTCTTGCAGAAGCAGCCACAGGAGGGCTGTGTGCTCTGCCTCGGGCTTGTTCAACCCCTCTGTCCTGCTCCAGGTTGGCCCAAGGACTGCAGTGAGGTCCCTGCTGGCAGCCCCAGCGGCGTCTACATCATCCAGCCCACGGGGCTGCACACCATCCTGGTGTACTGTGAGATGAGTGAGGCGGACGGGGGCTGGACCGTGATCCAGAGGAACCACAGAGACACACCAGTCACCTGGAACGAGTCCTGGAGCACCTACAAGCACGGCTTTGGGAATGTGCACGGCGAGTTCTGGCTGGGCACCGAGAACATCTACCAGATCACCAGGCAGAAGGTCTACCAGGTCAGGTTTCTCATCTGGGATACTTCAAACAACAGGAGATTTGCAGACTACAACCTGTTCAGCCTGGACGATGAGTCCCAGGGCTACCGGCTGAGGCTGGGAGCACACTCGGGGACAGCAGAGGATGCCATGGCCAGGGGTACCACCACCATGCACGACAACATGAAGTTCTCCACTAAAGATCAGGATCAGGACACTTCCAGTGGGAACTGTGCTTCCAGCTCCGGGGGTGGGTGGTGGTACTCGTCGTGTTACTCCGTGAGGCTGAACATCAGGGGGAGCATCACATGGGGCAGCCTGTGCAATGGGAACTGCAGAGCCTCTGCCATCCTCATCAAACCCCTCACCTGCTAGGGCTGCCTCACCACCCCTCTGTGCCAGGCACAGGGCTGAGGCAGAGCCCTGCTGGGCGCTTCTTTGCCAGGGGAGCATAGTGGGGGGCACTGGGGCTCAGCCTGGGCTGCCAAGGGGGTTTTCTTTCACCTCTCTTGCTCCTCTTGCTTCCCTTGCTTGGTTCTTCCCTTTGAGCTGTTTTTGGTTTAATTGCTTTATAATGAGGCTGATACCTTGCAAACCCTGTGCTTCTGAAACGTACCTGCTCCAGAAAATAAAACATGGTTTGGAAACACAGTACCTCAATGTGTCCTTATTCTGAGCTGTGTAAATAATCAATCCCTTTTGCCCAGAATCATGGAATCATTAAGGTTGGAAAAGCCCTCTGAAGTCAGCAGGCCCAACCACTACCCAGCACTGCCAAGGCCACCACTAATCCATGTCCCCAGGTGCCACATCTGCATTTTTTGAACACTTCCAGGGATGGTGACCCTTAGGGTTTCTGTCACCCCCTCATCATCTGGGGTGGGGGAAGGATGAAGATTCCTTATTTTCTGGTAAATCTGAATTAACCCCATTGCTGAAGATGTGGCCTTGACACCTACACCTGTAGAGGTATTCTCACCCACATGGGTTCTCAGTGCAGCAGTTCTTAAATCCTGCAGAAAAATCCTGTAGTAAAACACCAAAATGTGCAAATTCCAGCTCCACATTCCCAGCACATTGTAGAGGCTGATATGGAGTGAAAACCAGACAGGGCCAGGTTTCTTATGAAGAAATCTGTGAGATTGCAGGGAAAAATATCAAATATGGGATTCATAGTGATAAAACTCTGTGACATTTAAATAAAGGAACTGCAAATTTTTGATGCTGGAGATGCTTTGGTGAAGGACGAGCAGCTCTGAGGGCTCTGCCTGGCACTGGCAGCTCCAGGTGTGAGGGGCTGTCCCACCCCTGCTGGGGACCACCCCGGCCCCAGGCTGGGCAAACTGGGCACCTGCACAGGTGTCACCCGGTGCTCCCACTGTGGCCACTCCCATGTGCCCATCCTGGCACAGGGCACAGTCCCATTGCCACGGGGAGGGTTGGGTGAATGTGGGTCCGGCTCACTGGGATGGAGGAGCCATCCCTGAGCCCCGTGGGCTCGCTGGTTTCTGGCCTAAATGTAGGTGGGTCACCATGGCCAGCCGGGTCCTGGCACATCCTGGCTACCCAGTGTCACCCACTCCAGGGCTGGACATCCCCTGGCCGTGGTGCTGTGCCCTCTCATCCCCAGAAACGCCATGGCCCCTGTTTGCCCCCTGCAGGGAGCCCAGGCTGAGCACTGCAGGGCTACCACAAAACCCCCACTCACCCCAGGGCTCCCCCCTCACCTGAGAGCTCAGAGCATCACACCCCAGCACTGAGCCCTGGGCTGCCAAAGGACCCCGGGCACCACCCGGGGGACAGATCCCCATGGCATGAACCCCCCTCCTGGTGACGTTACCCCCCTCATGGGCACCCTGACTTCCCCCAGCCCTTGCTGCAGGATGGGGCTGTGTCCCCAGCTCCTCCAACACGGCATGGAGCAGAGCAAGGACAGGCTCAGACAGGGAATGCAGCAAATGGGACATCCCCCCACCTTGGACATGGTGCCCCCCAGCATCCTGCACTGACTGCCGGGACCCCAGCTGTGTGTGTGTGTCTGTGCAGTGTCGTTGCACAGGTAGACACGAGGCAGCACAGTCTGGCTCCAGGGTTTATTGCAGCTGATTCCTCCCACCGTGAGTAGCAGAGCTGTGTGAGGGGGAGTGGGGCCCAGGGAGGGAGCGGGGCCTGAGCAAAGCGGGGTCCACCGATTGCGGGGGGGCAGGGAACTGGCACCGTGTCCCCCTCCCCAGGACGGGGGCGGGCACACCCACCCCAAACCAGTGCCCGTGTGCCCAGGGCTCCAGGCGATGGCTCCTGGGCCCCAGAGCTGCTGTGTTTCGGCTGGTGAGGGTGCAGGAGCTGTGGGCAGAGCAGGATGAGCACTGGGACTGGCACAGGAACGGAGCACTGGGTTGGGTGTTGAGGAACACATCTGGTGCAGGCAGCTCGGTTTGCAAGCTGCAGATTGAGATGCGGATAAGATGCAGACTGAGCTCTCAGTGGCAGATCAAGAGGAGAGGCCTTGAACTGCCAACCTTTTGGTTAACAAGGGGCACGAAGACTGGTGGTGCCAGCTGGGTGAGTGGACATGGAAAAACACAGCTGGGAACTGCCGACCTTTCGGATAACAAAGGGGACGAAGACCAGTGGCACCAGCAAGGTGGATGGACACTGGGAGACAGAGCAGGAGTGGAGTACTCAGGAGGAAGAGCAAGACTTGAGCAGGAAGGCTGTGAGGGCATAAGAGCCCAGGGGTTCCTGTGTTGAGGGTCCTTCTTGCAGGCACCGGCTCGAGCTGTTTCTGTGTTAACTGCGCTGTGAATAAACACCTTTATGGAACTGAGACAGGTGAGACTCTGCTAAGGGAAAACTGGGGTTGAACAGGTAAGGAAACCTGGCCTGACTGTGCATGAGTGCGGTGCAGGGAGTCAGAGCAGGGACTCACTGGAGCTGCCTGCTGTGAAGGGGCTTCAGTCCTGGCAGTGAAAGTCCCTGGCGCTGGGAGTGTGACTGCCAGAGAGTCTCATGAATGTTCAGACTGGGAAGTTTCCATAACACCGAGGATGGTGGCACCCCCCCACTGCCGGGGTTCTGGGCACTGCAGCAGGGTCAGCACACGTCTGTGGGTCTGACCAGGATGAGGGAGGATGCGCAGTCACCGCTGTCGCAGAATCCCGGCCAAACGATGTAGTTTTTGGCATTGAGCAGGACGTTCTGGCACCTGTTGTAGCACCACCCCCTGTAGCTCTTGGTGCAGTTCCCGCTGTACTGGTCCTGGTCCTTGTCGACCGCCCTGAATTTTATCCCTGGGCAGCCCCCGGGGTGGTCAGAGCAGGGAAGGCAGAGCCAGAGCTCAGTCAGCAGCAAGGGGCTCCTGGGTGGTGGGAACTGCAGCTCCAGGGCAGGCTCTGCCCTGCAGGGGTGAAGCAAGGTGAGAAATGGCTCTGTTACCTTCTGATCAACCCCTTCCTACCCCAAACAACAACCTGTGGTCATATTCTCTCATGTTTCACCTAAAAGTAGGTTGTTGGGTTTTTTTTTCTGCGGGTCTACAGGCAAAAGGATATTTTTGTGGGAAAGAAGTAAATCTATGTAAGAACATCCAGAGCAAATAGTTCAAAGCCCTGCACTTGAGCTTGTTGTGTAAGACCTGGTGTTCCAGGTGCAGAGGATGCAGCTCACAGGGATGCAGGAAACAGCCCAGCAGCAGCAGAGAACCAAAAAGAAATGGTGGGATGGAAAGGGGAAGCGTGGGACAGACACTGGACACTCATCAGCTCCTCTTCCTGTAATCCCCACTGCTGTCCCTCTGCTTGGATTTCTACTTGCAGTCCCTGGAGCTGTGAGTGCTGAGGAAGAGGAGGACTCATCCATCACCACGGGGCTGCTGGTCAGTCCTGCTGCTCCCAGCTCCATGCTGGCTCCTGTCCCTTCACTCCCTGTCCCTACACACACCTCCTCTGTGTGAGCGCCTCAGCTCACAGCACTAATCATTGTGTGCCCAGCTGGTGCCTTCTCTTTGCTCAAGATTACACAAAGGGGCCGTAACGTATTATTTTTGAGGAAAAATAAAGTAATCCAAATGGCCCAGGGCATTTATCACCTGCAATTCACTGGACCTGCCCAGGAGGTAAATTTTCCTGGAGATTTACCAACTGCTGCACGTCGATAAAGGAGCTGAAAGAGGGGAGAACAGCAAATGGAAGGGCAGGAGTTTGAACTGGAAGACTGCAGAGCAAAGACAATAATACCTATGGGCAGTGGTTTGTCAACAGTCCTCAGCTCCTGGCATGCCAGGACAGACAGGGCTGTGTCAGCAGAGCTGCCCAGACACCACCCAGAGCTGGGTTACAGACACAGGTGCCTCACACCCTCCATCAGCAAAGGCTGAGGCTGAGGCCAGCAAACTGGAGCTGCCTGCCAGGAAGGGCACTGGCACAGGGGACAGGGTGTGCTGGCACTGGGACCTCCCCCAGAACCCGCCGGTCTCCTGGAGGACAGCAGAGGTGGCAATGTCACCTGCGGGTGATGGCACGGGGACCAAGCAGTTGGCACCAGCCTTGTGGCAGCAGAGCCCGTGCAGGTCCCCAGTGGTGCTGAGGAGCACCCCAGGGCCAGGCAGGGACCCTCGGGCAGCTCAGGACCTGCTGGTGTCAAACCCTCAACTAACACAACACCTTGGTCCTGCACTGGTGTCACTGGGCTTTCACCCAGCATCACTGGGCTGTGCCACTGCCCTTCTTAGCACTCCCCTCCCATTCCTGTGCCACTGGCAGGGCTGGCTCCACACTGCTCCCTGTCCATTCAGCATTTAGTCCACTTAACCCACAGCCCCCTCAAATGCAGAGGCTGCATCCGGCTGTGGGATGAGTTACCCAGAGCTGAGAGGTCAGAGCCCAACCCTCCAGCAGACCCTTGGCTTCAGCCCTGGGGGGCCTGCAGGACCTTCACACACGTGGCTGCCCCATGGGCAGGCTCAGTGCTGGAGGGTGGCACTGGGAGGGGGGTCAGGGCTGGAGATGAGGCCCCTTTGCTGCCCAGTGTGTGTAGAAACCCAGATTCTGTGTCACTGTTCACCCTCAGGTGATGCACCAAGCGAGGGCAGACAGACCTGGAGGGTCTGAACAGAGATTTCTGGCACGGCCCAGGGGACTGGGTGTCCCTACAGGGCTTAGCATCAAATCCCCTAAGTAGTAACAACCTCCAGGAAAATTCCTATCGGGAGCTTTTGTTGGTTTCATTGAATTCTATGTGAACATCAGCTGCTGTTTTCTGGGAACCCTTATCACAGCACCTGCAGAAGGAGGCAAACAAACCATAAATTTACGGGAATGGGTGAGTGCTGCTGTTTGGATTGGCCACCCCACCTCAGTGACAAGCCCTATATAAGCCCTATATCATCTGCCACCAGACCTCCTCAGCTGCCCACTCTGCAGGGTCCACACGGAGACAGCATGGGTGAGTGTGGGATGGGATGGATGGGGTGGGATGGGATGGAAGGGGATGGGTGCTGTGTGCAGCTGGGTATCCCTGCATCCTTTACCTGCCTCGGAGCTTCTGCCACCCACACCACAGGTCTGCCTTTCCAACTGACCCTTTCTGGCCTCAGGATGGTGGGATGATCCTGTTCCTGCCATACTCCCGGGTCTCTGGGATGGTCCTTCTCCTCACTCCCTCTTCTCCATTCCTGACCACAAGCAAAACTGTCCTGCTCTGGGTGGTGTTGGAAAGGCAGCATTTACTTGAGTTGTATTTGTGCCAGAGCCCAAAGCACTGCCCCAGAAAAACCAGAATTGCAGCTAATTAGTGCATTAATCACTCATTATCCTCATCAGTCCTTCAGGGTCCTGAAGCTGGTTGTAGACACAAATCCATGGATCTGGCCATGGAGAGACTGTTGGGGAATGTCCTGATCAGGTTCTGGTCCAAAGGAGTCCAATTGCTCAGGCTTCCAGATGTTGGCAGAAACCATCCTTCAGAGCATAGAATGTCCTGGTCCAGGATGCACATCCTTGGAGAAGCCCCATGTGTGACAAGGAGCAGGGATCCGATGTGGGATCAGTGCTCTGCCTCCTGGCAGGACATTCTCTTCCCAGTGTCTTCATGCAGCTCCCAGTCTCTGCGCAATGCCCTGGTGGGAGGGAGCTGTTCTGGGACAGTTAAGTGAAGCCCCTGACTCTCAGGGCACCTTCAGCATTGTGGCCACAACAGCTCCTTTCTTTCCAAGGTCTCATGTCCCTGTGCCTTGTTTATGCCTCCTCTGGTAGCTCTTGAGTATCTTCAGGTACCAGCAGTGCCCACAACCCAGCACTGCAGTTCTCCTGCAGAGGATTCACATTCCCAGATTCACTGTGTGTCTTCTCTCTCCAGCTGCTCATCACTCCAGCCCTCTGTTCTTGGCCTCCCTGCTGGCCCTGCTAGCCCCAGTTCTTGCTCTGGAGATCGCAAACCTGGGAAGGCTGAATGCAAGGTTATCTGATATCATTAATATCCGCTCCTTTGAGCCTCTTCCCGGTACGTGCTTTCTCTCTTCCACCCCTAAACTCTGTTCATCCAAACATCAGGAGCCATGTCCTCTCTGCACAGAGAGGGAGGTGTGGAGAATGCTGTTGGGGAAGGGCAGTCACACTGAAGTAAAAGGAGCCTGATCAAATCTCCCTCCAATTTAATATCTTAACCAAACATCACCAGATTTGGTCATTCATGTTATTGGCAAGATTGTATGTGGCACCTTTTTCTGGAGAGCTGTGGATATTCAAAGGAAGACAGATAGACCTTTTCTCTTCCTGTGATATTCTCTTCCTGAATGTGTATTCCTATAGTCCATCTGGAGCTCTGAAACTTCAGAGAAACTTTGTATATGTGACCAACCAAAAGGCTTTCTGAAGCTTGCACGTGGCTAAACGATCCCAAAACCTCATCACACCACTGATGGAGGTCACACCATCCCAGGTTTTCCCAGGGAAACACCATCTTACTAAGATGGGTGCTGGGTTTTCTCTTAAATAGAACATTGTTCTCTCATGTGAGCTCCTTTCCTCTCTGAAGGTTTCTGAAGGTCTTTGTGGGTCGAATGAACACATGAACCCTTCAGCCACCGCTGGAAAGCAGGTTCACAGCAACAGCCCTCAGCAGTTTCACCTTGGTCCGAGAGCCCATTTGCCTCTCAGTCCTTCCCTGTACATCCTTGTGTTCATCACCTCTGCTCTGAGCAACCTGGTCTAGTGGAAAATGTCCCTGCTCACAGCAGGTGATTTCAACTAGATAGCCTTTAAAAGGTCCCTTCCTACCCAAACCACTCCATGATTCTACTCAGCCATGCCATCTGCTCCACACCATAATGCTGAGAGGAGCAAACAGCAGCATTACCATTCCTAGTGTCTGATCCCTTTGAAGAGTTCCCAACCAAAAACTACCACCCAGGAAATAAAATGAGCCCAGTGGCACTGCTGAGGTGCCCTTCAAAAACCTCAGTGCTGTAAATACCAGCCCATGAGGGCTGGAGTTACCTCTTTGCCATGGCACAGGGCTGCTCACCTCACTCCTGCTTTTTCCAGAGGCAGATGAAGCCGAAGACAGGGGGCAGGGGAATCTGGAAGGTGAACCTCGGCAGGTACAGGGTAAGGACCCCACATCCCACAGGGAATGGGGAGGGGTGTAGGGAACAAGGGGTGTAGGGAACTGTGGTGGTGGGTGGGTATCGAGCCTGGGGAGCAGCCAGCCCAGCACCCGAGCAGGATTTGATGGGCTTCTCCATACACCAAGGGCACCAAGGCCTCGCTCCTCACCAGTGACAGCTCCACACTGAGCCGTGACTGACATGTGCCCAGAGGATTTCTACAAGGGGAAATAGGGATAGGACAGGGGGGAATGGTTTTAAACTGAAAGAGCAGAGATTTAGATGAGATGTCGGGAAGAAATTCTCCCCTGTGAGGGTGGGGAGGCCCTGGCACAGGTTGCCCAGAGAAGCTGTGGCTGCCCCATCCCTGGAAGTGTCCAAGGCCAGTTTGGACAGGGCTTGGAGCAACCTGGGCTAGTGGAAGGTGTCCCTGCTCATGGCAGGAGAGTGGAACAGGATGAGCTTTAAGGTCCTTTCCAACACAAGCATTCTGGGATTCTGTGACCTCAGAGAACTCTGCAGCCATTACTTACATGCCACAGGATGTGGCAAAGCTTGCTGGGATCTCACAGCCATCTGTGGGGTATCCAATGCCAAGGGAATGAGGCTTCCTCTTTCCCAGCCCCAGGGATGCAGGTGATTCCAGGGTTGCAGGAACAGCAGACCGGGATGTTGTTGTGCCTGTTCTCTCATTCCCCGTGGTCTCTCACGCCCCAGGCTTCCTCAGGGATTGCAGTGATCTCCCCATTAACAGCCCCAGCGGCGTCTATGTCATCCAGCCCACGGGACATCAGGCCGTCCTGGTGTACTGTGAGATGAATGGGCAGGATGTGGGCTGGACCGTGATCCAGAGGAACAACAGAGACACATCAATCACCTGGAACGAGTCTTGGAGCACCTACAAGCACGGCTTTGGGAACGTGAACTCTGAGTTCTGGCTGGGCAACGAGTACATCTACCAGATCACCAAGCAGAGGGTCTACCAGGTCAGGTTTCTCATCTGGGATGCTTCAGACAACAAGAAGTTTGCAGACTACAACCTGTTCAGCCTGGATGACGAGTCCCAGGGCTACCGGCTGAGGCTGGGAGCGCACTCGGGGACGGCAGAGGATGCCATGGCCTCCGCGAGTCCCACCACTGTGCACGACAACATGAAGTTCTCCACTAAAGATCAGGATCAGGACACTTCCAGTGGGAACTGTGCTTCCAGCTCCGGGGGTGGGTGGTGGTACTCGTCGTGTTACTCCGTGCAGCTGAACTTCAAGGGGCCCCTGACATGGGGCAACCTGTGCAAGGGGAACTGCAGAGCCTCTGCCATCCTCATCAAACCCCTCACCTGCTAGTTGCATTTTCATTTCCTTTCTGTCCAACCTGCGGCCAATTCTGGCTCTGCAAAGAGTCAGAACAAGGCAAAACTTGCCATGGCCAAACCTGGTGTCCCAGGGGGTCTTTGCAGAGGTTGGTCATATTTAGCTACTGAAGAAAATAAGGCATTTTCCACTTCTTCTCCTTCCTGTAGTTTCTCTCTACTCCTCAACTGTGTCTATGTTCTCTTGTTCGGAGTCAGATCACTTTAATTATGTTAATAATCAGAACAGTCTCTTGGAAACTCAGAAGTCTCTGGATCAGTTGTGTGCTTCATATAAAATGTGAAATGGTCAACCCAATAGACTTTCATGGCTTTGTCAGTTCATTTACATCCTTAATTTTAGGGAAATGGCCTAATTTTCACTCGCTGAAGATCTTGCTCAAGATATTAACATGCACAGTCAACTTCCTACTCTGAACCTCCTGCACTTAAGGCTTAATAGATGTTAAATAGTCAAATAAATCGGTATTCAAAGAACTGTCTGATTTGTAAAAGTCTGTTTCGTGTCTTTGAAGTGCTCACAGAGGTTAATGCATTAGAAGGTTTCCACCACTGCAGCTCAGCTTTTCCCTGAGCCAGGGCCACCATGACTTCCCAGAGGTGACAGCACAGAGGGGAGGCACCGTCCTGCCTTTGCCCCTTTGAATCTGAAAACAAGATTTCAAAGTGCCATAAAATTCATGTGTGGGAAGAACATCCTGGCTTCTGTGGTCCATCCCTCTGGATGTGACCCCTGCACAGAGGGGCAGCAGGATGAGTCCATTGGTGTCCCAAGGTTCCCCTGGCAGGAGGATGTGATCTGGGAGCCCCCAAGCCAAAGATGAGCAAGGGAAGCAGCCTGTCCTCAAAAACCTCTGCAAGACCCCTCGTTCCTGTGCCTAACAGCACCCCCAAAATGCTCCCTGCTCTTTCCAAGAGCTGCAGAACAACAGAGGCTGAGGCTTAACATAGTCAGGTTTAGCAAAGAAAGTCTGCAGGCTTAGCACAGGTCATGTGTGCCCAACAGGTCCCAGGAAAGGGGGTATTTGTGAGGTCTTTTATGTCTTTAGGGATTTTAAGACCATGTGTGAGAGGTCTCATTTGAGAAGGAGGGACTAAGGTCTGAACTAGCAGGGAAGAGCAAAGCCAGGGAGCACGGAAAGGGCTCAGGGAGCTCTGGCACAAGGAGTCAGCAGGTGAGGGAACAGAACAGGATTTGCATGAATTTATGTCAGAGTTCAGCATTACAGCTCAGGTCACACAGAAACCTTCGAGGACCTGCTGGCTCTGCCAGGGTCAAGCCTGTGGACACAATGGATCCATCACTTAGACCACCAACCCTCCCAGAAAACAGCAATTCCCACAACAATCATGGCTTTACATTTTTCCTGAAAGGATCAAGGGGAGGTTCAGGTTGCATATTAGGAAAAATTTCTTCACTGAAAGAGTGGTTAAGCATCGGCACAGGCTGCCCAGGGCAGTGGTGGAGTCACCATCCCTGGAGGGGTTTAACAGATGTGTGGATGTGGCACTTGGGGACGTGGGTTAGTGGTGGGAATGGTTGGACTTGATGACCTTGGAGGGCTTTTCCAACCCTAATGATTCTATGATACTTTCTCATCTTTGAAGGCAGAACCCTCCAGCAGATGCCACCCATTCCAGCTTTCAGCCTCTGTGGCACTGATGTGCTAAAGATGCCTCCAGGGGCATGTGAGTTCTGGAGTGCCTTTGGCTCAGGGAGATGAGAGCTGTCTCCTCACCAGTACAGAGACACGAGCTAGCAAATAAAAATTAGCGCAAACAAATCCTTTCTTACCTTGTTGTGCTCGTGTGGGATTTTTTACACCGTGGTTTTATGGGGTTTGCACGTCTGCCTCACAATGTGGGATTTCTTCCTGCCTCCCACCACCTCCTGCTCAGGCCCCTCTGCAGTGATTCATGAGGTGTGTGACAGGCAGGAGTAGGCAGCTGCCAGCTCGGAATGGAGACCAAACCCAGTGTAGGAGATAATAACCTAAATAAAATGTTCCTCAGCTCTCAAACTTGGCAATTTCTTGTTGCATTTAGGAATCTTTTGGGGTTTTTTGGGGGGTAACTCTCTTGCCTTGAGATAGATATGGAGATGTGTGACTAAAGGGACCCTCTGCTAATGCCCCCTCACACCAGTGGTTGGGCACCCACCGTGCACCCCAGGCAGGGGTTTTTTTTACAATGTCCTCTAATTATCTTTAACCAGTGTGACTTGGGTGAAGTGGGGGTGGCTGTCCCCCTCTGCCCTTGTGAGACCCCACCTGCAGAGCTGCCTCCAGCTCTGGGGTCCTCAGCACAGGAAAGATGTGGAGCTGCTGAAGCAAGTCCAGAGGGGGTCATGGAGATGTTCTGAGGGCTGGAACCCCTCTGCTCTGGAGCCAGGCTGGGAGAGCTGGGGGTGTTCACCTGGAGAAGAGAAGGCTCTGGGAAAACCTTAGAACCCCTTCCAGTGCCTAAAGGGGCTCCAGAAGAGATGGAGAGGGACTTGGGACAAGAGACAGAGGGACAGGACAAGGGGGAATGGCTTAACACTGCCAGAGGGCAGGGATAGATGGGATATTGGTAAGGAATTCTTGGCTGTGAGGGTGGGGAGGCCCTGGCACAGGTTGCCCAGAGAAGCTGTGGCTGCCCCATCCCTGGGAGTGTCCAAGGCCAGGTTGGACGGGGCTTGGAGCAACCTGGGCTAGTGGAAGGTGTCCCTGCCCATGGCGGGGGGTGGAAGGAGAGGATCTTTAAGGTCCCTTCCAACCCAAACCACTCTGTGAGTCACTGAAGTGATATCTTGTTTTTCCTATAAGCTCCAGGGCCGTGTGTGTCCTCAGGTCTCTCCTGCTCTCTCCAGGGAGGCTCAGCTTGTCCCGTAGTAACAGAAACATTCTGTGGCTTCCAGCCCTCTCCAGCAGGCTCCTCTTTCTGGGCAGGCAAGCAGGCACCCAAGACCATCAGGAAACACTCCAAGTGCAAAGTCCATGTGAAAAGAAGTGATTTGAGAAATGGAGTCTCACTGCTACATTTCTGCCGGTCCCCAGAGGGTGCTCTTGCCCCGGGTTTGCCAGGCAGCTTCCAGTGGGAAGGAAGTCTGGCAGGCAAGGAGAGTCCATAAGTATTCCCATAAAGAGCCGAGGTGCGGGCTACAATTTTTTGCTCCACATTTGTTGCTCTGTTCAGCTGCCCCATGGAGTGCTGAGAGTCCACCAGCACCGTCTGCTCACACGGGAGTGTGAGTGGGGAAGAAATTACAAAGAACCTCATTGGATAAAGAATCAGGAACACACAGAGTGGTTTGGCCTGGAAGGGACCTTAAAGCCCATCTTGTTCCACCCCCTGCCCTGGGCTGGGACACCTGCCACCATCCCAGGTTGCTCCAAGGCCCGTCCAACCTGGCCTTGGACACTCCCAGGGATGGGGCAGCCCCAGCTTCTCTGGGCAAGCAGAGAATATGCAGCAGAAACAGGCAGAGGGAATGCAACATGTTTCCCTGAAGTAGGGTTTCCCAACCTGTCCCAAAGGATTTAATGTGAGCCTCAGAATCATCTTCTAAGGAATGTTGTGAGCTTGCACAAGAGGGAATGCTGAGTTCAGGAACACAGATTTGAGGCCATTCTGATTCTGTTGGGAGGGGAGAGTGGGATGCTGGCAGTGAGAGGCAGCAAAAAGCAAAGAGATGGGAGAATGCTGAACTGCTTGTCCCAGGCATCCACCTGTCCTCAGCATGGCTGCATATCATTCACAGGGAAAAAAGGAATGACAGAAAGACATAATTTGCTTCTTTTTCCAGATCTTTTATTCATCTGCAGCCAAAGAAGGAAGGTGCAAAGACTTTCTCTGCCAATTCTTGCATGGGCCTGAGGAACAGATGTCCAGATGGTTCTGACAGGCTGGGGATGCTTCTCACCCTGAGGGCTTGGAAGGTTTCACTCTGTGCCCACCAAGGCCTGTGCAATGGGTGGCTGAGGGTGAACTTGTACCTGTGTCCCGAGTTCCCATCAGTCAGCCTTGCTTTGGACACACAGAGAATTTTAACAGCTCCAGTCCTCCATCAGTTTGTCCAATTCCTTATTGAGTCCATTTAGACTTCTGGTTTCACAACATCCTGAGATGAACTTGCCATTCCTTTGCCTGGTGCCCCCAGGATCACAGAATCACAGAATAGGGAAGGTTGGAAGGGAGCTCTGGAGATCATCTAGTCTCACTACCAGCTGTGAAAATGCTGAATAACCATCTTTAACTGTTCCCTGTTCCCACTGCACCCATGTCTGCATCCCCAGTGCCCTTCCAGTGCCTAAAGGGGCTCCAAGAGAGCTGGAGAGGGACTTTGGACAAAGGTCTGGAGGGACAGGACAAGGGGGAATGGCTTAACACTGCCAGAGGGCAGGGATAGATGGGATATTGGTAAGGAATTCTTGGCTGTGAAGGTGGGGAGGCCCTGGCACAGGTTGCCCAGAGAAGCTGTGGCTGCCCCATCCCTGGGAGTGCCCAAGGCCAGGTTGGATGGGGCTTGGAGCAACCTGGGATAGTGGAAAGTGTCCCAGCCCATGGCAGGGGATTGGAACCTCATTAATCTCTTTTATAACACAGTCCTGATCTATTCAGCCTTTTCTTGCAGGGATGCCATTCCCAACTCTGACCATGCATTTTCTCCATCTCTGTGACCTTTTCCAGTTCTTCTCCATCTTTTCTGAGCCAGGCACCAAAGCCACACACACCCATGAGCACCCCCTTCTTTATATGGGGCAAGTGATATTTTCCTTGCAATTTCTGGAGCCTTTTTAAATTTTTAATTAGTCCTGAACCTTCAGCTGATGTTTTCAGAGAACTGCCTACAGTTACCCTCAGCTCTTGACTGGCATCAGCTAATTTAGAGTCCCCCCATGAACAGCGAGGGATGTGCTTTGCTTTATCCTTATCAACATTGAATCTCATTTTCCATGTTATCACCCACTCGCTCTGCAGCCTGAAATCCTT